TTTTTTTTTTGTGTGTGTGTGTTTGGGTGTAGGCCCTGTGGGGAACATTGCTTTTCACCGCGTTCATGGCTGAGGGTCAGCTGGTTTTCTTCGTCCAATACCAAACCGGCACAGTGTTATTACTTACCTTTACTGATAGTGTAAAGGATTGTTTTCCTTGCACTAGCACACATGCAAACACATAAAAAATTCACACATGGATGGCCACTTCCCATAGGCAACGCCTGCTCCTCGTCTCCTTTTTTCTCTGCAGTCCTACCCCTGACTGGCCTCTTGTGCCAGTCTCTAGCAGTCCGCTCTCCTGGTGAGTATTGAGGACCCAATGAGGTTCTTCTTTCCCCTGCTCTTCTCCTCCCGCATCTCTCCTACTTCTCTTTTCCCTCCTTTTCTCCCTCCTCTTCCCCTCCTCCCTTTTCCCTCCTCCTTCCCCTTGTGCAGAGCTACAAAATGCATATGATATTATGATCGACTATCAATACACGAACAGACAGAATTGAAGGTGCAGGTGTGCTGAAAGGCAAACGGGCGTGTAGTACTGTGTATGCATCTCACGCTTCAAGTACACAGACGTGATGGGCCATGCACTTTTCAGATACTTTTTTTGTATAATAGAATTTAAGAGTATTATAAATACTAATACACTTAATCTAATACACTTAATTTCATGATCTTTTTAATAATACAATAATTATTTGTAGAATATAATGAATATTACTATCTTTATATTATATATTATTATTTGTATAATCATAATACAATATTTATAATACAATAAATGCAACCATGAAATGGCCCCTTTCATCGAAGCATTAGATTTATCGAAACAATGCAAACAAGTCTTTGAAAGGAATCTCATATAAGACTATGTAGCAAGGTTGTTTTCAATGTAGGATGTACACATCTGGGTGGAAAAGGGGTTGTTCTGGTCACAGTCTCCAACAGACACGCACACGACAATGAAACGGCCGTTTCGTCAAAGCATTGCATTTGTGAAAAAATGCGAACCATTTTTTGAAAAGAATCTCACATAAGGTCATGATGAAGTAAGGTTGTTTTCAATTTTTTGATCTGCACATTTGGGTCGAAAAGGGGTTAATCACCGTTGATGTGGTGACAGTCCAGAACAAACACACATGAAGAAACCACCGGCAGTGATATGCTGGATGAAGGTGGTGGGGATGATGTCAAGTCCGCATGGCACTTCTGGGCGGGGCTACATGTGGTACGGCGACAATATGAACGGCAACAATATGACAATAGGAGGGGCAAGGCTTTAAGAAGACGCAGCGCATCGTGAAACATTGTTTGCGTCAGTTTGCATTTTTTTTTTCTGCAACTCGAGAACATGAACTTGGAATTGCTACCGTCTTCACCCGGATAGAACGCCGGGTCATTACCGCTGTAGCTGGACTGGAAATTGCCACAAATACACCTGTAAGGGCCGGGCATTCTATTCGGCTGAAGACGGTAGTAATAAAAAGGATGGGGAGGCGGAGGAGGATAAGGAGGGGGAGGAGGAGGATTAGGGGGGGAGGGAGGGAGGGGACGGAGGACACAAAGGAGGAGGGAGGGGGGGGGGGGGGGGAGGAAGGGGAAGGGTGTTTGCAATGGACGAAGATATTAGTAGGTGACGTGTCATAGCTTTTCAGAGAAGCTTTCAGGAGCCCAGGAGGCAGGGTTACACACAGTCGCATGTGTTTTGAGTGTAAACTTTTCTCCTCTATGTGAAAATGTACTGATATGTTAGCTATGTTGAAAAAGTGAATCCCCTTTCTTAACACAGCCTTGAGTGACTTCATAGAGGTGCCATCTGTCGATTCTACTTCGGTCTGGAACAGGTTGAGGACGTCGAGTTGTTGGTTCTCTTTTTGGTGGATTTCAATTTTCAAATTTTTAATACCTTGAATTAGTCAGAAACTCTGAATGGATATGCTACTGTATGTGGACTCTGTTCTGCTCAAAGGACTGAAAAAAATTGTGTATGTGTGGTTCTTGCGGTTCTCTTCCCTCTGCTCTTTTTCACTTTCGTGTACTTTCGACTTCGACAGCAACGGAGAGCCAGAGAAGCCTTTAATTGTGCATGTTGGGAGACTGGGGGTGGAGAAAAATCTAGACTTTTTGAGGATGTAAGTTTTCTAACCCAAGCTTGCGTTGCAGTGAGAAAATACTAAAATTAGTAAAATAGTATGAAATAACGTGGAATGTGTGCTGTTTACTCACCCTCGCATCATTAAGTGTAATCACTGCAGTCTCACTTTAGGCAGCACATAGTAATTGTTATTCTATTGAATCAGACTGAATGCAAGTTTTCTGGGCTGGCAAACCTTGTACGGATGCGCTGTACTTGGGACAAGACAATGGTGTGCTGTGCTGTATGGCGTGTTAGAAACTGGTTTATGCCGCCAAAGATTAAGAAATACAAGGAGTACAAGAAATACAAGGAATACAAGGAATACAAGGAATACAAGAAATACACAAAAAAAGGTGTTTTACGTTTTTTTTTATATTATAATTGTTATATAAATCCAACAAAATTGAACAAATATAATTCTGGGATAGTGAACCAGTGAAATGCTGCTTGGAAAAGGAAAAAAATAATCTCTTTACGATGATCACAAACATTACATCACAGTGGCGATAATAGCCGCTATATGCGTCTTCTTGATCTTTTTCAATTTTCAGGTCATTTTTGGGAGTCCTGGGACCATGCTAGTCTACAAATGTTACAGCTTTTCCCTACAATGTTTGGTCTTTTGAACCCTCTTTTCAATTTCCGGGTCTTTTTTGGGTGCCCTGGGACTATCTCTGTCCGTGAGTGTGGTGTGCAGAATGTGCTGTGAATGTGCACTTTGTGCATGCGTTGTGCGCAATGCACAACTGTTATGATTTCCGCCTATGTGTATAGTCAAAAGCATACTTGCAAGCGGACGCCGTCCGGGCTGGTTCCGCACGTGCGGCAGACCACCGGACGGACTGGACCCGCGCGGCGCACGAATGTGCGCCCGACGACCAGTTACGCCCCCCCCCCCCCCC